AATTTGACAGCGACATGAACATATACACGATGACGTTCACGCATCAACGAGATAAATGCAAAATATCGTAAAAATTTTACTTTTCTTTCCCTTAAAACGGCTAAAACTCGAAAAATATAGACTTTAGGTGGGGGGTTATTTAAGAGAAAATTGTAGGGCTTGAAAAAAGCTACAAAATGAGGGGTTAAACGTTCAATTTCGACCTACATTCGCAGAGTGCGAAAAAACGATTTTTTCCTTCCCCCCTGCCCCCCTAATTTTCCTCCGGGCCCCCGACTACTCAGAAATAAGCTTTTCTTAAACCCCCCCACACATAGAAAAAAAAAATTTGCGTGTCGCATCACTTATTACCTAAATGTCTAAAATGACTGGCCTATAAATTTAAATTTGGATTTTTATTTATTATATAACGCATTAAGTGACTAATACTTATTATAATTAAAATATTAAATAATTACTAATTTATACGAAAAATTTTTGTTAACTTTAAAAATATGTAATAAAAGAAACCATAAATTTTATTAATTACAAAATAAATGAATTGATAATTCATTAATTTCATAATAACGGTGATTCTATTCTTATGGAAGAATGCTTATAGAGAAACGCATTATCATTGCGTTCCTCCATAAGCATTTTCAATTTTAAAAAAACTGTCGATGACAGTTAGGAGATAGAATACAAGACTCTCCTATGTAAATAATTACATTTATTTATTTATCAATTTTACAGTGTAACAGTGTATAGGATACGCTGATTATAGAATAATCTCTTTTTTATCGTTTACTAATTAAGGCGATTAGTGTGTGTAAGTGACTCCGTCAGATAACATATATATTATATTATAGCACGTGTGTGACTTATATTGGTTGCGATTAACAATTCGTAGTTCGAATTGGTCTCGTAGTTTGCTTGTTCGTGGACTCGGTTCGCGTGGCGTTACACTTATTTTCGTTCGCGTTGTATAACAATAAATTTGATATTAAATATCTCATAACGAAGTAAATTACTATAAGTTAGTTCCCTTTTTTTACTCCTATGGTATTCGGTGCGAATAAGGCCACAATTAGTATTTCCACGTGTGCGTCCGCCGCACACTCGTTCGTATGTGTATTTATATGTAGATGTATATTTGTTTATGCTTGTGTATATGCGTGCATGTGTATGGATGCGAGCTTTGTCCCTTTTATGCAGTATCTTTTTCTTTCAACAAAACCCTTAATATGTATTGCAAAAAATGTTTGCAGCAGCGTATGTATGTGTGTATTTATATATATTTGTCGTGTTACGTGTATGTACTGTGTGTACGCGCGCATGCGACTCACACGGGATGATAATGCATCCCTATGTTGCGCGCTTATTTTTCTCGACGAACGAGAAAGGGAGAGAAAGACCGAGAAGAGAGTCGGGATATCGTAACTGAAAAATACATACATATTGTTTATCGTATCCTGTGTATAACGAATATGGAAATCAATAAATTATCGATAAAATTTTCATCTTACCAATTTCTGGAACATTAAAATACTTCTCTCTTAAATTCAAATCTATATAATCTATTACCTATATATATTAAGTTTTGGAAAATAGTTATTTAGTATATGGAAAATCGGTAACAGGTTTTCTTCATTTTCACGTAAAAAACTGTCGTAAAGTTTCGTCTACAAATTGACAACTATAATATAATACTATTTATTCGGAAATTAGATTAACAGCATCGTACAAAGAAGGCAAGAAAAAAAAAAGTTGTGATGTGTCAATTGAATAAATTAGTGTCGGTGTGTGACGTGGATTGTGTGTACGTGTTAGATCGTCGTGTTTTTCGTGTGAGTGCAAGTCGAATAGAAATAACATCGCTATACGTATATATCAAATTTTAGTTTTTTTCATAAGAATATATAATATGTAGGACTCTCTTTGTGCGCGCACACGCGCGCTTATTTCTCTACCATTGTACAAAGCAAAAAAAAAAACGTTATTAATATTAGTAACATCACGAGAGCACGCGGAGCGCTTAGGGTTTATTCATTATCCTAATCAACGTGTCCGTATCAACGATTTTATTACAATAAGGCGATTTGATTTCTTTTCATCAAGCTCGCTGATTGCGCATTCCTTTTTCCCTTCTCTCTCATTCATATCTCTTTCACTCTTCGATATCCCGACGCGATGATCGAGCAGATCATTATTTCGAACACAGACGAATTCGCGTCAATGTTCTCATAAATACACGTAGAACGAAATAATGAATAGATTAATGTCGCTACGACTATGAAGCTAGAAGACTCTCGCGTTTTCTCACGCCGCCTTCCTTTCCGAACGATTAATCGGCGATCGTAAAATCACTGTGCTGACCAAGACGAAAACTTGATCAGGGGATTCTCGAGCTTCGTCATCCTCTGAAAAAAAGTCGGCGCGGAAAATCTCGTCGAAATACGTCGGTTATCCGTAACAAAAATTATCGCGAAAAATCTACTCTTTTTCTTACACTTATAATTTTTATTACGTCTTCTCGCGATCTCGTCTCTCGATGTGACTGCGAAGTTCTTTATCGTTTGCATGCGTCTCAAATTCGAATTGACGGCTAGTAAGATCGCGACGACGGTATTATTATGGCGTGCAACGGAATCCGCTTGACTATACAAATTCCGTAACGGAAGTGCGTCTTGCTCCTCATCCTTTCTCTCCCTTTGCTCGCTTTGCTATCTGTCGATCTCGTTGTCAATCTCGACGTTATGAAACCGCATGCTTTACATCAGCTTCATCTTAGCGCACTCAGGGCAGATGATGTCGTCGCCATCGGTGATGAAACCACGTCCGACCAACGAAGTTTTGCAACCCGCGCAGATGAAGCAGTCATTATGCCAGTGCCTGTCTTCGAATGAGATGAAGCGAGTGCCACCAATACCTGCAAATTAATTGACGCAAATGACACTCAGATTAAACTTAATTTCAGTTGTTCACTGATATCATGTTTGTATGTTGCATGTTGTGTATTGGAATTAGAAATTGATTCTAATAGTGGACGCATATATATTCACTGAAAGATCTATTTATTGTCAAATAATAATAAGCACATCATCAAATCAAAGCAGTCATCAAATTAATGACTGTAAAACAAGTTTTGATTAATTTTTTGTTTCTCAACAAGTAATAGATTTCTTGTAGGGCTTTTTATACTAAAAAAAAATTTTTTTTTAATTCCATCACTTTTTAATTTTTAGAAACTCCGCTTTGAATGTCTTATATAGTAATACAAATTTATAATATTATAACAGACAAATATATTTTGTAATAGAAACCTTGCAAATTTATATTATGTAAATATAAAAGCACTTACTTTCCGCATAATGCAATACAAAGATGAAATAAAATGTATTACATGGAAAAATAACTACTTTTTCAAATTGCTGTATCTCGAAAACGAAAAATTATACAAAAACAAAATGCATTTTAAAACTAGAAGATATTTTCGCGTAGCATTAACAAAATTTAGAAAAAAATTGTTACCAATACTGGAACGTCATAAAAACCCTTAAAATCATCATTTTTGGCTTCTTTGACGATATTTTTTTTCAAAATCTGTGAGTAACGAAATTTTCTTAACCTTATATTCTTCTTCAATTTCTAAAATTTTGTCTGAATCTAAATATATATAGTTCTTCAGTACTTTTTCGTAAAAATTTTTTTGCCGCCAGGGAATTAGTATTCAGGTATAAAAAAACAGAAATTATTCAATGTTTATTATCAAAAAATCAAACTCATATAACTGTTTAATCTGGACTTTTTAGAAGATTCAATTTCTTAATTCTTTCAACATATTTTATTCTTTTATTTTATTTTTTTATTAATAACTAATAACTAAATAAAGGTGATACACACCGGTGATCGGTTTGGAGCAAGAAGTGCACCTCTTGGCGAAGAGCTCGCCGAAGCAATCAGCGCAATACGGTTTGTCGTCGCGCGACGTGAATCGTTGTCCCGCTAGAGAATTGTTGCAGTTGCTGCAGGTGAAGCAATCTCTGTGCCATGGTTCGTTCTTATATGTCACGCCGCCGCTGGTGATAATCTGCAACAAAGAATTCGCGATATCTTAAAGGACAAATCGTTCCATCAATTCGTTACATCTCATTGCGACGGGTAGATTTTTTATTTTCATTTTTATACATTTTATTTACATTTATTAGATAATATTTAATGAAGCTCAGTTATTTTTTAAAATTTCTCCTCGAAATATAATGTAAAAAAAAACACGAGGAATATAATATAACAAGAGTGGATTAACTGACTATGTGAATGAAAGTATAAGTTGAAGAAGAGATGAATAAAGAAATATATCTATATCTATCACGTTTTAATATATTATGTAGGTATATATAGGATATAAAATATATATATAAAAGTAAACAGGAAGAAATATTGATGCAAGCAAGCGATATCGACGTTAACATACGTATGTATAGTTGAAGAGTCATTTGACAAATGACATTGAAGTGACATCATGCGCGTCAATAGAAAAGAAACGAGTCCTACAAAGATTGTGAGTGACTATGAAAGATTTAGAAGAATGTTAGAAAAGAGATATTTAAAAACATGCAGATTTCGTCGAATATAGAAGAACGTCTGTAATTCAATTATTGATACGTTTATATGAATTAAATGAATACTGAATATTGTTGGCCGTTTCATTTTATGACCAAGTACATAAAGCATCAATACGCAAATAGCGACTATATCAGCGAATTTATCGGATTGAAATTTATGATCTCACAACGAAATCTCGTTTTTAACTCGCTTGTTACGCTCGACGAGTTTTTTGCGCGACACGCAATAAACGAATGCAAGACGACATGCGAAGTAATCATCGAAATAGAGGAGTGGCCCACCTTGTTGCACTTAACACACCGGGTGGCAAACTTGTCCTCATAACATCCGGCACAATAAATCTCTTGCTCGCGCGGGATGAAGCTCTTCGTGCCGATCGGATTCTTGCAGACCACACAGCAAAAGCACTTCTCGTGCCATTGTCTGGTCTTGTATTCCATCTTCTTAGTGCCTAAAACACGCAAGATGCAATAAAAAAAAATTATAAAAATAATATATTTTTCGGATTGAACAATATTTATAATTTATATCCAATGTTCGTCTAGATAGAAGAGAAAAAAAGAGAGAAATTCATGCACACTATTAAATACGATATAAAAAAAGCATCTAATTTTTAAAATTGCGAAAGTGCTGATGAGAGTGTAGCGCAGTAAATGATGCGCAGTTTAACAATTAATAACAAACTTTCTTTTCAATCCTCCTTTTTATTTCGTCTAATTTTTCTTTCAATTTTCGTTTTTATTTATAATCTGCTTTTTATTTAAAAAATTGCTTTTTTCCATCTGTTAAATTTATATTCAATCAATGAAAGCATGAAGCTCGCTAATGATTACTTCGTAATTCATGGCAAGTTGTTGTAGGAAAATGTAAATCTAAGTCTGAAATATAAGTGTAGCGGAGATCGTTGGTTCGCGCTTTAACATCCAAACGAACGGGTGTATGGTGGTTGCGTGTGGCGACTGACGGGCTGTAGTGCTGCAAATCGCAGTCGCGTGCATCATCGCGTGTTTCGTCCGACCGAGCACTCCATCAGCTAGCGAAATAAATTTTTCGTGAATTTCTTGGGGAGCTCCCTATTGGGCACTCGTCTATAAAACACCCCTCGTTGCAAGCGAATTAGATCGATCCATGGAGTTTCCTCGCCCACGGTTTCACGTTTCGCCTCGTTCGGAACCTCGTTCGATCGTGGAAAGCACCGTGTTCTCGTTTTGCCTGCCGCATATAGATTCGCCGTCTTTCGCGATCCGCAATTAGCACATGCACAGGTGCAGACAGTCACATGGAAATAAAAACGGTCGGAAGAAATTAACCGCACTGCGGTCTCGGGACTTTGATTGGCGAACCGCATGATTGCATTAAGAAATTTATATTATCGAGACGTATTAATAGGGCTTTTATCAGAAACGAAAGCGCTAATTTAAATGTAGCTATATTTATCGAATATCTTTGTTATGGATCTCTTTAGTTTTTGATGTGTGGTTTAAAAAATATATTTCACAATATTTAGATGTAAAGGTAGAAACATTGTTAAGTATCGTCAGAAAACAATTGCGACTTACGATATTTCTTTTAATTAGTTTGTTCGTCTACCGCGAGATTTCCGTAATCTATATCTAGAAACAAGAGACGATCTCGGTTATTTGTTTTCGTTAAGATTAGGAATATTATGCGAAGAACGTGACATGATGTAATGTTGTCTAGCAGATGAGTATTGTCAGTTCGTTATCATGGTCACGTTCTGGCCTGTGATTCGAAAAACAGGCAGATAATCGAAGATCATTGACTAGAAAATGCAAAAAAAATGAGTATTGTCTGCTGCTAATGTCATACTAATTGCGTATCTTGATCAAGCTGAGAATCTTACATCCTCAATAATAACACGATGATTACAATAACATATTTCATACAAAAAATAATTAAACATAAAACATATCCTTTAGAATTTTAAAGAGATGATATAGAATCCAACTCAAATTTATTCGCACAGATTTCGAACGACGCTATATTATGTGGGCGTTCATTTTTTCATGTTTTTTAAATTTATTCTGTGGTGTCCGAGAGACAAGAAGATGAATTAATAACATTTCTCTATTTCGAAAGGTGATCTAAGGTCCGACCAAATGACATACTTAAATATGACATTAAGTATAATAACGTGTCTCGTGAATCATCAGCTCAATCCTAAATATTTATGACACAGGATCACGTCTGTGAGAGATGGCAGTCTCTCTCTCTCTCTCTTGAAGACAATCGGAAACTTATTTCATTAAAAAAATATTCAGGTCTCTCCGTTTTTTTTTTTTTCAAAGATAGACAATCTTAGAACAGAATGTCATATAATAAATCACAACTTTGTCAAAACTAACTTTAAGTTTTCTGACTAGGCTCTCCAAGGTGTCTGTAGAATATTCATTACCCTATCAGAAATAACGTTTATATTATGGCAAATTAATATGAGTGCCATCGATAATCATCTCCTTTATCACCAACGTAGATATGATTAATAAATAGCATGCAATATATGTTCAATACCAGTTCGTTAATTATCGATTCGTTAAATTATTCACATTCATCATCAAGCATTCCATTCAATTTTATTTAATCTAGTCTTCGGATTATAATTATATTACAGTCTACAAAATTGCTAATTATTTATTTTATTGATTTAATAACATTAAACGTTGTTAATCAATCAATTACATCTCGATCAAATATAAACGTAGTAATTATATTATAATAATCAATTTAAGACTGCAGAGTCGAGAATATTAAAGTAAAATCTAATTTCTTCAACTTAGTTCCGATAATTTATGCCATTTTTAAGGGTTCTTTGTTATAAATAAAAACCGACATACCGACTTATATTAAAATTACTTTTTTATTATTATATCTTTTTCATTTCTTTTTATTATAAATATCTTTTTATTATAAATATTTACATTTCAAACATTAAGTCAAATTTGATTTGTATCAATAGATGAGATTTTTATTGGAATATCTATGATGTTTAAAATATCTATGATGTTTAAAATAAAAATGCGACACATGCTCAATATACATTTTTGTTTTTTGTCTTTTATAAATTTTTAAATATTTTTTTAAAAAGATACATGAATATTTAAGATTTTTTATTTTTATTATTTATAAGTATTTATGTATTAAATGCTAAAGTGCATTTATTTTATGTTTCGATGTTTTTCGAGATGCATTAAAGATGGTCATTCTGATATCTATGTATCTTTCATACACGACACGCCGACTCCTGGACCACTATGACTCAAGTGGAGATTCGTGACGTCACATCAGCCAGGCAATACCTCCGTATATGTATAAAGCTTATGGCCCAAGGCCGGTGTTGTAATCTTATACGCATCGCGTTGTAATCCGCGTATTATTCGCGCTATGTGATGAACGGTGTATACGTGTTAAAAATTGGATATTTACATATTCTTCATCAACATAAAACGTTTATGTATATAATCGCCATTGTGTGAAACACCCTTTATGTATAATATCTTATCAGCTTCTTAATCTTAAGAGATGTAGAGAATATTTAAAAAACAAACGATGACGTTATATGCACTTATAAATTCCTTGGATAATTAAATAAAAAAATCCACCAAAATCTGGTTACGTGGAATGTATGGATATAAAATAATAGAGAGTGTTTAAAGCACTCAATATAAATGTATATTCAACAATATAAGTATTTAATGTAACAATTACAATATTTCAACACATAGCAATTCATGGTTCTTGACACGATATGTGTTAACTGTCTGGAATCACACCTTATTGACAGGTACGAAAGAAACGCTTTAAAACCTACTTAAGAAATGTCATTCACGCTCTTAAATAACCTGTTCGTTCGTCACGGTAATGAAGCTTTTCCAAGCGCCACGTGACGAGGTGATTTCTCGATTGCCGTAGATACTTTCAAAGCCGTCTGAGAAACTCATTCTATTCTCTCGCAATATCTTACAATTCTTATCATGTGTTTTCATTGCGATATATTAACATGAGAAGTACACTAAGTATTCCAACTGATGAACTGAGTATCCATTTAAATACTGTACATATTATACATTAATTATTATTGTACATTAATTATTGATTCCACTTAATTACCATTTCTTTAACAGCATAAATCCATTAAAGCTTGTTAGTTCCTCCATTAGTTAGACAAATAAACAATTCAACAGAGACTATTATCTGTTTTCGTAACTATGGATATCATATTAATTATTGAATCATCATTTATCATTTCGTCATTCTTCTTCTTAGACACTCGTCGATCATTAAACACAATCATTTAGACAGATTTTATGGTTATAATACGTCGTGAAATTGGTAGCACGCCTCCCTAAGCCGACTCTATGTCGAGACGGAAGCTGCCTCCTCTTTCCTACGTCAAGTCTAAATATAATGCAATGAGAAGCAGAAGCTGTCGTGTGCTAAAATTTCCTGACCCAGGCAAACTCTGTTCGCTAAATGTACGAAAATCAACGAACAAAGTGAACTGCATATCTCATGCCTAATTATTTCCAAACAAATAAAATTTCCTTCTACTTTATTTTTAATTTTGTGACATGCCTTCTCAACTTTTAATTTTACACTTATCTATAAATATATATTCATATTTCTATACACAAACAAGGTGTGTAACGTTTAGCGTGCTTGGTAGAAATACAGTAAACGTTTAATTAAATACAACCAATAAGAAATAGCCGGCAGAAATACAGTAAACGTTTAATTAAATGTTGACTATCTGTACTTTTATGTAAATAAAACACGAATTTCAGGTTCAAGATCGGACTTGCGGAAGAGGTTGCAACTCGATAATGATACGTTTGTTTGGACATGCCACATTGATTGCCACATTCAAATACGAACAATGTATCGACGATATGATCTACCGTTACGCAGCGATTGATGATATCATTCATAATATTATAACACATCGATATCGAAATCCTTATTCGAATGGCATCACGTTTTCGATGATATGCGATTTCGATAATCTGGCACATATAACTGCGTCGATTGCCGATGCTTTTTTTTCCATTCACTCGATTCGTTCGTGCATTAATCCTTTTTTTATCATTTCAGCAATAAGATGTATAGAAACACGACAGTTCTTTATAAATTGCACAATTGTTGTTCGCTCCTCTCAGAACGTATATATTAACGTATGTTAAAACTTCTGACCGGGCAATCGAAACGAGTTGCACAATTTTTTTTCGCAGAGCCTTAAACATGCAACCACGATGCTTTTTTATCGCACTAAAACAAATTCCAAGGTATTTCACTACAGTTTTTACATCAATCATCGTGTACGATTCCTGACAACGTCCGATTACGTATATTTAAACGAATACAAATTACATTATGTCAGAACACATTTGTTCTTTTAAACACTAATGTAATTAAAAAGACATCCACCAATTGCTT